CCCCCCTGGGAACCTCCGCGGCCCGTTGTTTTTTGGTTGTTCAATTTCTTCGCTGATTAGCTTTCCTCGCCTTTGACCCCGTGGCTTCCGTCCCGCCGCACGTAACAGGCGGGTACAGCGGTGAGCTTCGTTTGTGTAGCCTGGGCTCCTCACGCTCAGCATTGTCTCCACGCAGCGAGTGGAAGCGACCAACAGTGCGTTGAAGACGGCGATGGTCAGGTCGGGGAGTATGGACGACGTACATGACGCCATCGTGGGCAAAGTCCAGGACGACGCCAACAAAAGCAAAAGGTGGGCATTTTATTGAATTGGCGTCTATTTTTCAAGGCCGTTGTCTTCGTTGTCTTCGTTGCTTCTCAATCGACTGCAGAAAAGGCGTGAGGCGACGTCTTGTGTGCTTGTAACATGTTGTGGCCAACCGCGCACAAGGGGAAAGGTTTTGGCCTGCCCATAGAATAAGTTCTCCCACCATTTGAAAACCAGCGTGCGTCCCCAGAGCCGTCTGTCGACAGCGACTATAGCGACGGAGCATGTCTAAACATGTCGTTCCATGCAACGATAGTCATCTTAGGTCGTTAGACTGGCCCTTGAAATCACGGCATGGAGTCAACATTGCACATCACTCGCGAGGTCCATGCCCCGGCGGTCCACCGCTTCATTACTTTGGGGCCTCGCAAAATACGTGTTGTTATCCCGTCATCAACCAGTTCCACCTTCTACCCGCCGCTTGCTGCTGGCCCGTGCGCTTTGAAGGAAAACCGCTAGGGGCGCAGTCCAACGCGTGCGCCAACCGACTGCCACACCCTTTGAAAGAGGGAAGGACAGATGGCTGGGAGATTTCGACTTCGTCCGGCAGGGTACGCGTCACCCGAAATGCAGCGCCTTCGCTATGAATGTCAGTTTTTTGCGTTCGTAGGTCTGCTGAGGGAAGAACCTTTCGGGCATCGCTCCTCTCTGGCCTCGCACCATTCATCCTTCCCTCCCCGCCCACCCGTGTGACCCTGCCGTACTTCTCTGTTGGTATGCCTACCGTAGAGCGCGGCAACAGTGATATCTGCGAGCTTTGCACGGCACCCAATGATACTGTTGGGTGAAGAGAGGTGAAGACCGTGCAGTTTCAATGCCTTCATTTCTTTCCTCCCGCCCCCTTGCTCGTACACCGGCTTCACGTTGTTGTTCCGTAAAATTTGCAGGACATGCCGGCCGAGGCCTTGGCGGCTATGGGCTACAAGGCCGAGATTCTGGCGACGGGCAACGACAATGTGCAACGCGAGCTTGCGAAGATGGTGTCGGAGCCGGCTAGCGCGGGGCTGTGTTACTACCCCACCTCCGGCGGAGGCGACGGCACGTGGACCACCCGGACGTCCGTAAGTTCTTCGCGGACTTGCTCGAGGGCCAGGTTCTCGACAAACTCGTGCGCATCACCAGGAGCTTCTCGGATGGGGGACCCAACTGCGGCCACCTCGTCGCCCTTGGACCCGATGGCTTCATCCTCTGCACGCGCCTGAGGCTCCTCGTCGACGGTCCCGGCTGCCGACATGCCCTCCGGGCTATGCGCGAGATGGACTTCGGCTTCAACGGAGGGTGTATTGCACCCCGCTGGCGTGACAGCACTTTGCCGTGGATGATGGCAGCCCTCGCCGCTAAGCGTGCGGTGCCAGAGAACACAGTTGCGGGGGTTCCCGGAGAGATGCCGCCCGCTCCTGCGGATCCTGGCGTTTTCTCCCACTCGAACCCCACGGCGAGAGCAAGCAATTGGGCCAGCTGCGTCGCCAGCTTCGCGCCTTCGGGAAGGAGGTCGCAACTCTCATGACAGAGTTCGACACCATCGCCCCCTGCCAGCGCGTCCTGGGCAACCTGCTCAACCAAGCAAAGCAGCTCATCGAGGTGGAGGTGAGGTCGCAGCATGAGGTCTCCACGAACCGGATTTTCACGGGGGTCGTTGCCCGGCCTACGACCGGCACCGACCCGCCAGAGGAAGGGCACGTGGGGACGGGGCCAGGCGGGGGGCG